ACCTAAATGTTCTTAATGGATGACGTCTAATCTAAAACATTAAGATTATAATCATTTATTGGTTATCTGTGTTTGTCTTTGCAATGCTAGAAATATTCATTCATGATGTTAATATATCTTGATGTGTATCAGGCAGAGATGGGGCTGATTCAGGTTTTTCAAAATTGAGACCGAACCGATCCCATTTCTGATATGAGGTATTAAATTGTTTTACTGATAGATGAAACTGTTGACTAACGGTTATTTTTCGACAGATTTCGTATGTCAAAAAGAATAACTTCAATATAATTCTTAGGTGATAATGTTTCACGTGATTCAAATACAATAGGAAATGTAAGATCATTTTTAGAAATGCTCAATCACACCATAATTCTTTTTGGATACTTAATATTGTAATTTATGTTTTCTCGATCATTTGCTTTTTATCGACTATTACCATCAATACATTCTAATGAAGTATTTTTCATCAATGAATAGAATTTTCTTCAATTTGTGAGATAACAAAGTGAATTGATCGTTTACCAAGGAATAATCTAGTTCGTAGCTCCAAAAATTAATCTAAAAAACAAAATTCCATATCGTCAAGTTCGACTCAGTTTTTACAATCACTGATCTTTCGGATATTCTGACAGATTACCATTAATCGACGACTGTACAACAAACCTCAGCAGTAAATATCTATGTACAATTTTTTTTTCTTTTACTTATATCAATCTCAGTATTAGAATGAACCAGAAGTATTATTATATAAAAAAAAACACTTAGTTTTGTTTTTATTATTTACGACACATGCTGGAGAACAATATAATCTCTCCTCTCATTCATGAGAAACTTTCATGGGGTACCACGATAAAAGACCGTTGTATACCCACTGAGAGGCAGTCATCATCCTGGAGCCAAATATTACGACTGGGTTCGATCAACGTAAATGCCGCGTGGAAAACCGCAATTTTATTCTAAAATAAGAAAAAAAATCGGCAAGTGTTTTTTTTAGTGAGATAAAATAGCCGAATTTTGCGCGTTGTTAGCCACGTGAATCGTATTTTTTTTATTAAAACAAATGACGTATGCATAACATAAGCTGCTTTTTTGTAAATTATAAACATTTTCTCGATATATATATATATATATTATCGTATAACTAAGATTTCTAATAAAATTTATTGAGTGACGAAAAGATGACTTGCCGAAAAGTGACCATTTATAATGATCCACCCATTATTTAAAATATTATTGAAATATCAAAACTTTCATTTTAACAATCGAATGAATACATGAAAAATTATTTTGCTTTTGTGAAAAAACATTTGTGTCTCAAAAATTAAAAAAAGAAATATAAAAGCAAGTGTTAATATTCTCACACGAAACCATGGTAAGAATAGTACAAAAAGTGCTCTAATTTATTGAAAAAGATTATCTTTCTCTCAGTAAGAACATTTCAGACTAATTCGTTCTTCAAAGATACGCATAAATCAAAAATACAATACTCTGATTAACCAATAAACTAAGGTGCACATAACGCAAAACTTCAATGGATTTTATTTTTCATTGATGATTTAATATAGCTGGTTAGGAATATATATCATCTTATTTCAATTAGGATTCCTTTTCATTGAAAAAAAAAGCTCTAAATACTGAGAAAACTATCGGCATGATCAGAATCATTTTTTTCACAAATCAACACTAAAATTTCGATAATCTTTTGGTCTCAAATCTGAAAAGTGTATAGACAATTTCGTAAACCTATCTAGTTTTTTTATGAGCGAAGATAAAATGAAATGTCTTCTCTGATTTGAATCAATCTGTTTTCGGCTACAAACGTACGCATTCAATTACGTTTTTTCAGATTTTGTTTTTGTTGTTGAGAAAATTAAACATTTACTAGTTTTGATAGTAAAAGGGTCACAAAATGACCTTGATTATTTTAGTTTTTACCATCAAGACTCAAATGAAAAACAAAATAAACAGTATATCGAGAGTCAGTGTGGGAATCTGCACAGAACCGCATACATTTTAGCGAAATCAATTTTCTACGGAAAATACCGTTGTACTGCCCGTTAGTATTTTTCTTCTTAAATATTGCCCGTGGCCCCCATGGAGAAAGATGGGTAGGTCGATTTTATCCTTGAAATAGAGTTTGCTAAAAATGTGTGCGACCCAGTGTAGATTCCCATGCTGACTCTCAATATGCTGTTTTTTTAACTGAGCCTTGATAATGAAAAACTGAAACAAACAAGGTCATTGTATGGCCCTTTTACTGTAAAAGCCAGTAAATATTTAATTTTCTCAGCACTAAAGAAATCTGAAAAAAAAGCCAATCAAATGAATACTTTTGTAACTGGAAATAGACCAATTGAAATCAGATAAAACATTTGATCTGAACTTCTTTCATAAAAAACATAAATTGGTGTACAAAAGTGTCTATAAATCCGCATAGATATTGAAAGTGGTTTTTTACGTCAAATCTAAGAAAAAAAATTTCTACTCAGTTCTTGATGCTGAATTAGGAAAAAGAACTATTTTCAGAGAGTTAAGAGTTGGTATATCAAAATATAGTGATTTTTATCTTATCTGTAGTGGGATCAGTATTTAGAACTTTTTACAACGAAAATCAAATCCATTGATATTTTGTTTTATGTTCACGTAAGATGCAACGATTTGTCAGATTCATCGGATACTAGAGAAAAAGGAAGCAGTTTTCAAGAATTAACATAGTCATATAAATATCATGTACATTAATAAATATAAAATAATTCTGTTTGAATATGTATATATTTCTTTTTCCATTCATTTTAATCAATTATTTTATTTGATTTAAATTGTACTCAAAAACTAATATTATCTGGAACAAAAATCAAGTTAGATATTAATTTTAAATTCATCTTGATGAGACGAACTGTAATTTATATATGAATTTTAATGAAATATTGTCATAGACCTTATATTTATTCGAAACATTACAATTATTGAGTATTGTTAACAACACGGCGTGAAAATTTTATTCAAGAAATCTCCAATAAAAATATATTCTCGTGCGGCAATAGTTAGACTGAAGAGTTTTAACATATCATTACTATAATTAATATTCTTAGAAAAGGTTTTTTATATATATTCTGATAATTCCCGGAATTCTCTACAACCCTAGATATGTATATTTTGAATTGTATTTGTTTGCAAATATAGAAATACAGTCTTGACTTTCAATTATTTCATGATAACTATTTCGAATATTGTTAATGTATCATTACTCTGACATCTTCACTCTTGTCCAGTCCACATAATAATTCTTACAATAGTCTATGAGTGGTTATCTAGTAATCGAATGAGATGTCTGGAGAATTGTTCATCAATCAATCATGATTTTAATGTTATTCAGAGTTTTTTGTTGTTGTCTTGAACGAACCACTATGCACAGAAATATCATCCGAATTCTCAACAATACTTACCTTATAGGAATGTGATGCGTGAGTACATTAACAATATTCAAAAGAGTTATCATGAAATAATTGAAAGTCAAGACTGGTAACTAGATAATATGATAGAGAGTTTCGCGTGCTTGCAACATATTTACGCACTTTTGTAATAGTCTGTTCCTATATTAAAAGAAATTTGCAAGAAATAAACCAAAAGTGAAGCAAAAAATGCATTTTCGAAGATATTTAATGATGAAGGTACCTTCAGTATACTTGAATTTCTATGTTGGCGAACAAATATGATTTAGAATGTATACATGTAGAATTTTAGAGAATTTCGTGCGCTAGCTGAACATATATAATTAATTTTCTAAGAATATTAATTTATAGTAATGATATGTTTAAAATATTAAGTCTACTTACTGTTTTTCAGAGGGATATGTTTTTTTAAATGCTGTTTATCATTAGATTAAAATTATGCTTGCGTAGAAACATTACCTGATGTTAATTCAATATAACAAAACATGATCGAAAACCAACTGACGAGATTCCCATTCTTCTGTTCTCTACTTCATAATATTGATGAATCAGATAATAATATTAAAAAAATCAGTTTTATCAAGGAATTCTATATTATAATGAATTATTTCTTTTTTTTGGTAGTTCATCAATTTTAATCCAAAAAAAAAAATGTTTCAGCCTTGATTTTGAATTATTTCAATTGAATATGATAATCAGTAATTCTTATCCTCAATAAGAAAATATCCATACAAATGTTTAACTCTTATTTTTCTAATACAAAACAGATGTATTACACATATACATTTCATACACTGTGAAAAATCGCTTTTCAAGAACAGCTAATATCCAGATGACAAAATATTTATTAATTTAGATAAGAAAAACATGATACGATGAATCACAGAACATTGCATAATTTATGTATTTGTTTTAGGTATGATGTTAACACACAATATCGGATAAAGTTTCATAAAGAAAACTGAATAATTTTTATTCATTAAATAATTAAATTAGGAAAAAAAAAATTTTGATAATAAAATAATTCAGAAAGATATTTACACTTAATCTTTCTTATACATAAATAATTTGTTTAAAAAGCATTCAAATCCTATAAGAAGTAGTAAATATCTATTGATTCTATACATATAAAATCATATTCACTTGAATATAGATTATCCAATCCATGAATAGTATTCTTTAAACAATATAGTACATCCATATTTTCTTATCAATTCAAACATAATAATAGCTAAGAAAACGAAATGACTATGAAACAACGATTATTATTTCACTAAGGCACCATGCTGATGATTTTTATTGACTTTTTTTAATCATTACCATTTATCTATATTTATCTAAATATTCCCTTGTAGTCTCAAAACCCTATTGATATCGCTAAATACAAGACAATAATAAAAATGTAGGTGTTTGTGAATAAAAAAAAAAAAAACAATATTTTGAGAACTGATGCAGCTGTTCGATTTATATTATATAAGGAGAACTATTTTGGTTAGTCTGAATTGATTAAGTTCGAAAATCATATCCACGATACAAATAACAGTAGCAATGTTATCCAAAACTTCCATTATTATTTTCATGTGCTGTATTGCATATGCATTATCACAAACCTATAAGGAAGTAACATATACTGATTGTGGTATGTAAAATATGAAATAAAATTTCAATTCATTTTAATAATCATATTAATTAGGATCAAAAAATGTTCGAATCAGTCGATTGTCGTATAAACCTATGCCTATTGTTCAACCAGGAACTGGAACACTTTCATTCGCCGTTGCAGCTACTGAAAGAATTCAAGGTGTCATTAAAGCTAAAATTGATATAAAACGTAAAGTTGGTGGCATTGCATTACCGGTTTCATGTTATATTGTTCAAGGTGAACAGGTTGGCTCATGGTTAGTACTTTATTTTGATTTCATTATTTCTTACTACTTTTATTTTACAGCACATATCCAGATTTTTGCGCTTTACTGAAACGAGTTTTCAAATATGAAGTCCATAATTGCCCAGCAAAACTTGTTCAAAATGGTATTAATTGCAATTGTCCAATAAGTTTAGCACGAAATGATCTTGATATTGAAATGGACGTCACTTTGCCTTCAGCACCAGAGTAAATATTTTATTTTTTTTGTCTTATTCTATATTTATTTATATATGTATCCTTTTAAGATATGCATCATGGTTAAGTGTTGGTGATTTTGATATTAAACTTCAAGCAAGTGTTGGTCAAATTGAAGCTTGTTATGACATGAAATTTGCAGTTAAACCTGCCGGAAGACCTTAAAAAGTTGAAGATGGTTCACAGTTCTGTTTCTTCTTAATATATATGTGTGTGTTTATTATAAGCGAAGGGAAAGGATTATTACTTGTATTGTTGAATGATTTAATGAAAGGAATAAAACATGAAAAGTGATGAGTGAACACACGCAGATAAATGTTTATATGTTGTCAAAAAGAGACATTGAGAAATTGTTAGAGTATATCCATTTGGAACTTCTCGTGCGAGTACTAATGAATAGTCGTTTATCAATGAGAAAACGAGAAAGAAAAACATGCATGAATGATGATGATTACTATATGTATTGCACGATTATTCTTCCTACGTTGATCTGAAGGAAAGAAACAAATTCATGGCAATGTATAGAAAATAGATGATGTTAATGACGATAAAACATATATTTCTGCCTTGAGCTTGATGCTAAGCATATATATATAGAACGAAGAGATAAACGAACGAACGAATAAAAAAGAAGGGATAAAAAGCAACGCTGCAAGAAGAGAAAAAGAAGAATATTTCATGCTAATAAGATAAACGACAATTTCTACGTGCATATGTATGCCTGTCGATCACATAGCATGTTTGTATATATATCAAACGGTTCATTCTATCAGTTTTTTCTTCGATATACTCAAGCATATCATCCTGATTAATAACGATCTTCATATTTGTAGATGCAGTTTTCTTATTTTTATCTTTCAATAGTCTTTCTTCTTTTTTCATCTTCATGGACTTATGTTGTCAACGAACAGGATGGAAAATGGTCATGGAGTAATGCAAAGCATTTAACACGATCTAATTGGACATCGTCATTAAAAGCGAATAATAATTCTTCTAAAATACATCATGCAGTATGGTTCATTTATAATTATCTTAATTATTGTGGTTATTGTAAAAGATTTAAACCGATATGGGAATCTGCTGCTCAATATGCAGCAGGTAAAGAATTTTTCAATGAAATAAAAACAAAAATGAAAGAAAGACATTTTATTATTTAATTTTAGGTTGGTCAAGATTCATTAAAATAGGTGCTTATGATTGTGCAAGTGAATCGGCATCAGAACATGATATTTGTCAAGATGATGCATATCCTCAATGGCGAATATATTGTCCATTGACAAATTCAACTCAATTAGCATTTGACTCAGACCGACAAACCGCAGATACAAAACCAGAAGATATTTTAATTTGGTCAATAAAAAAAATGAATAAAATTGCACATCAATGTTATGGAAAATCATGGCCGATTCGTGATGTAATCGAGTAAATATTTCTTCTTTCTGTTTACTAGAATAAGCAACAATAAAAATAATGTTTCTTTTTTTAGACCAAAAAATATCGATGATTTAAATAATTTAATTCCAAAACGTATAAAACAATTTCAATTATTCGTTTCAGATGATATTCTACTTTATAGTCTAGTAAAAATTCTTGTATATATTTTATTTCTTGCATTTAAATAAATAATTCATTTTTTAGTATGTATTAAATAATTCAAAAACTGTCTCTCAAGAACCAATTTATCGTTTGGCTGTAAAAAATTCTATTACACAAGATACTGGTATTTGGAAAGGAATGAAAAATGACGATGGACAAATTTCACTTGAACAGTTAGTTGCAAAAAATATTCATTTAAAAATTTATTTATAATTTTATTTTTTAGAGTTAATTCAACAAAAACAACGGACCAATTTGTATTAAACAAAAAGGTTATCTCTCATGCTAATCAATCCTTAGAGTAATAATATGTTTATTAATATTTCAATGATATAGCTTAGTTTTTTAGAAAAAAGATCGGTTCTCTAAAACCAACACTAACTGATATTGATAGTGCTGTTGTTTGGATGATTAAAAATGATCTTCATAGAAAATTACCGAAACTATTTGATGAGGTTAAAGCTTGGCTTAATGTAGTTTATACGGTAAATATGAAAACTTTATAGAAAAATAAACAATACATTTTTTTTCAATAGTATTATCCTGGAAGTGATAATATGCATAATTTCCTTCATGATTTAATCAACTTTATGAGTAATCGTACAACATTATCATCAAATGAGCTTAAACATTATATTGATTCAACATCGGTAATTTAATTTAATTTATAGTGTCGACAAAATAGATGTTTTATGAAGGAATGTCGCAAAATATGACTCATCAATCGAACTGATAGTCTCCAAATATATAGGTCTCGAGGGAACTAGTGAAAGTCTATAAGAATCAATCATTTTCAATTTTTTACAATTTTACTTCATTGTTTATCTTTAGCAAAGTAGTTTTGAAACAATCGCATTAGAATATCTCAATCTGAAATTTTTCGCATAAATAGGCTTAGCAGATCTTAGAATATTTTGAAAATTGTAGCCAAAAGAGATATACTTTTCTTGCGATATCGAATATTCAAAAACAATCATATGTCACAAGGAGAGGTAAGAAAGCTTACTGTTTGCAACATTCTATATCTAAAAAACAATGCATTCCTTTTGACTGAAATTTTCAAGGTATTCTAAAGTTCACGAAATTTATCTATCGGCACAGTATCGCATTGAAGTTTCCTAATTCGATTGTTTCACAAATATGTTTATGGAGATTAAAAAAATCAGTAATATTGTAATAGCTTCGGAAGAATTGACCCTTATAGACTTCTACTAGTATCTAATCGAGATCTACTTATTATCAAATTTATCAGTTCTATTGACAAATCATATTTGGAAATCTTCCCTCGTTAGTCAAAAGAAAACAAATTCAGATATGATTTATGGAATTTCTAATCATTTCAATTAATGTGGAATGTTAAAAATTCTTTTGATGTTAACAAGAAAGATTAAGGCATACTTATGTAAGATATTATCAAGTATTGTATTACTCGATCGATGCCAACAAATTCATTTTACAAAGAAAAATTCATCATGATTCCTTTGACAAAAAAATATGCATTTCTATTTTCAATTGGTTTTCGTTAAAATATTTTTTCAACACGGAAATCTAAATATGGAGATGACCAGTCTGGCCGGAAGACCCATTAATATTTTTTTTATTGTAAGGATAGAACATACTATTATTCGGGTCATATGAGAGAGGATACCAGATAACCCTAGATTGGTCCGAACAATACCATGTTTTATCCTTACAATAGTAGAAAAAAGCTACNCAACACCAGCAAATACCGAATAACCACCATGGGATGTGGCAACGTTATAAATTAATTCCATGACCAAGACAGTTTTACCTACACCAGCACCACCAAATAAACCAATTTTACCACCTTTAGCATATGGTGCTAATAAATCGACAACTTTAATACCAGTTTCAAGAATTTGTTGTTCAACATTCATATCAGTAAATGGTGGTGCATCAGCATGAATTGGTGCATAATCTTCAGCATTAACAGGACCACGTTCATCAATTGGATCACCAATAACATTAATAATACGACCTAATGTTGCTGAACCAACCGGGATTTTAATTGGTGTACCAATATCTGTTACTGGTTGTCCACGTACAAGACCTTCTGTACCATCCATAGCGATAGTTCGTACGGTGTTATCACCTAAAAGAAAAGAAAAATATAATATTTTTCTTTTTGTTCTTCTTCATACCTAAATGTTGTGCAACTTCAAGAATCAATTTTGGTTGACGACCATCAACTTGAAGTGCATTAAGAATTGGTGGTAATTGTTCATCAAATTGTACATCGACAACAGCACCAATGACTGATACAACTCGGCCTTTAGCACCTTTAGCAGCTTGAACTGGTTGTTTTTGGCCAGTTTGTGTTTGTTTACTCTCCACTGTTTTTTGTTGTGTTGATTGGGCTGCGGCATTTCGTTTACCAACAACTATTCATAAATAAATAGTTCAATTTGAAAAAGAAAATTAAAAAAAGACATACTATGAAAATTAGCGATTGGTTGATAGGCTAGTCTTGACCATCTTGGGTTAGCAAGTGAATGACGTTGTTTACCAAGTACAAGTTGTGCTACACTACCCGCTCGCCGACAGGCACATCGTATGCCCTGCATGATTGTACAAATAGGTAGTCTGAAAATGATAAATTACTAGAGAATGAGTAAATTACTGAGATGAAAAAACGAAAAAAATAGATTAGGAGCAAAACCAGTGTAGTTTATTCTTTTCTAAGACCACAAAAGAGTTGTCTACATCATACTACACACAAAACAACTGATGATGTCCTTTAACGAGGTATCGTGTAAGGATTAATGGCGAATTTTTTTTATGAATCGGTAATTGATTTAAATAAAACAATCTTATTACAAAAGAAGAAAATTCTAGAAAATGATATATAAATAAAAAAACCTAAAATATCTATCATAACACACATATGCACTTTGTCTCGAAGGGTTTGGCATAGTAACAAATATGCAAATGAACAAAACTTTCATCACATATTTTTGTATTATGATAGAAGAATAAAGTGTGTTGGCAAGATGTTCACATTATCACCGGGTGATGCTCTTGATTATGCAGCAGCCTTCGAAGATACAGCTGAAGAATTACATATTCTTGGTAAATTAGTGCCTCCACATTATCAATATACAGAATCAGCTGATGAGGTTTGTTCTTCATATAATAATTAAAATTAGAAAAAAACATTGATTTTTGTTTTCGCATAATAAACTTCTTTTTGTCTGTATTATTAAAGATTGTTCGTAATCAAATCGAACATGTATTAAATGCTCAACATAAACTTGAAGATGATTATGATGCACAAATATCATATCGAAGTCAATTACATCACAATAAAACACACGGTACACTTCAACAACCAAATGCAAAAGAAAGTCAAAAATTAATGGAAGAATTAAGTACAGAATTAAAAAAGACTACAGCTGATTTAAAAACAGGTGTTAATAAAATTAATCGAATGTTTAATCAAAATCCATTAACAGCAGATAATATGAAAAAAGTTGAACAAGATCGGTAAGCCACTATTTTTCTGAAAGATTATACTTACGAAGGATCCTCCTCACGTGTCATATCGTTTTCCGAGCGAGGTGATGTTTATGTGATGAGTAGTAGTAATGAGTAATAGAAAATTATAGCATAGTTTGTTTTTCAGAGCCATAGTTTATGAGATATCGAAATTTTACTGTGCGTTTTCAACAAAAAACTGTGGTCTCTCTTAGATCACGTAAGAATTTCGACTTCAAACTTTACGCGAACAAAGTTCTCAATGAGATTAATTCATTGGGCAAGTTGCAACTATTCTAGTATCTCCTATTCTAAGATATGGAACATTCAAAGTTTTCTCATGAATAAAAGAAAATGTTGCTCATATATTTACATGTTGAGAAAGGAAATGATAGAAAAGCTAAAATTTACATAATGAACTAATTTCAGTAGGAAATTTGTTTATGTAACGCTTGAAGTTGAAACTCACGTGGCCTGAGAAGGACCACAGATTTTGTTGGAAAAATAAGGTAAAACTGTGATATCTCAAGAATGAAGGTTCGGAAAACGAAACCATTCTAGTCTTCTTTGATACTCAGTAGTACTCATCAAATAAATATCGTTTCGATCGAAAAACAATTTGATGTCTGGAAAGGTTTCTTCGTTAGTACAGTTTCAATGAATTAGTTATTAAGGTCTCCTTAAAAATCGATTTTGTTCCAAGTACATTCAAATTACATGAAATTTTTAGTTCTGCATCGTACTGTTTTCGGAAGATAATCAACAAATGAGAATCAAAAATAACTCATTTCGTTATTCAAAATGTTCTGGAATCCTCCTTTTGACAGATTTAATTATTTTATAGTTGAAAGAGAATGTCAGACTGTAAAAGCTTAACTTTTTATATGAAGAAAAAAGATGAACAGTTCAATACCTCGAAAAATGGCCATCTCATGTATAGAAATGCTTTCTTATATAATAATAAACAATTTAATTAGGAGCTCTGTCAAGCAATGCAGCTTCACATATTCTTTCAAATAAAAAAAAAGCATATGATCACAATGAACGTCCTTCGAGGACACTAGGATGTGCGATCAGAAAAGTATAAAAAGAAAAAAATCGAAAAAGATCTACTATTTCTGGAAAAAAACATTTTTTTAAAGCAGAAGGTGAATTTTATGGCAAAAAAAAACGAGATGCCAAATAAAAAAGCATGTCAATTATGAAAGGTAAAACTTCGGCCTATCTTCCCATGCATTAATTTTAATTTTTCTGACGAAAATTGATTTTTTTTTTTTGAAGGAAGAGAATCTTAAGTGGCAAAATGTTCGTTTCATCGATAAATTTAATGAGGATTCAGACAGCAAAAAAAAAAAACTTAGAAATTCATACAGATTTATATTTTGAGAAAAACTGGTCTTTAGATAATGAAGAAAAATTCGATATATCAAACAAAAAATTCAGTTATTCGAAAGGATGTTTTAGACATATTCGTTAAGATGAACATATAAATCATGAAACTTGTGAAGCTTTCCATGGAAGAAAATATTGTCAAATATCTTGATACTATGGAGCTCTGCCTTTTGTTAGCGTGATATTTAATAATTAATTTTCTGTCAATTTTATTTTTTTGTTTAAGTCAACTAAAATATTTATTCATGTAAAACAATGTCTAGAATTAAAATACGCATTCGAAAAAGCATGTTTAGTAGTAAGTCAAACAGCTTTGTTCGGCTTAGTGTCAAATATGACAAGTAACATTCATACAAAACTGTCTTCGAAACAGTATTAGTAATTAAAATGATTCTGATAGTCTTGTGCGCTTTACAAACAAATCATTCAAGACAAATCTGTCAGAGCTTTCTTGAAGGAACGTTTTCTAATAGAACACCCTTTTAATATTTAATTTTACTAAACCAAGTTCAAAAGAATGCCGCCGTTTTCAATAAATTAATAATGAACGGTGAAAATAGCAAAAAAAAATCGTGACCTTTTTTTGCATGTGAGGAGAAAAACTCGTCGAATGCGATGTCAGGTTACGGCGAGATTCAATGAAATTTCATACTGTATCACTGTCTTCTATTGTCGTCTCCCAATACAACATGTTTCTTAAGTCTTGATGCATCACAAAACTAGTTTATATGCAGACAGAAAATGACCCATAATCGAATATTTTTATATAAGATTTGAGATTACTTGTATCAGCCTTTCAAATGACATATTTTATAGGATAATATTTTCTATTGTAATAATAAAAAACTAAGCATGAAAATGTGGCGATAAATTTTTCACAATCGGTTAGCAAGTTATTGTAATAAAAAAAACATACGATTTTATAAATACATATGTTAATATGATTACACAAAAATCTCATTTAACTATTGCGTAATTGTTGTCTATCACAATTTTATTAAATTGTAAAGTCGTTTACAAATTTGCTCAATCATTTTTTGGCAATCATTACAAGTTATTTTTTTATTCTTTACGCAATCTAGTTTTATGTTGTTTGAAGCTTGAAAATTGTTCATCTAGTATTTTTTTCTGTAATATTCTTCATACACTATCAGTAGGTTATACATCAGCAATTTTATCGTCACTTCCTTGAAGTAAAACTCGATTATTAATTAATATATCAATAGTTCAAAATACAATCTTTGTTCCTTGTATTTCGCCTCGCGAGCAACGTTTTCATATTTTTATCTAGTTCAATCGGGTCACTAAATACATTGCTTGATTGAACATGTAACCAATGGATCGTGATGAGTATAGAACAAGCGAATAAAATAAATAGTTACGGGTTTATTCTATACTATGTTTTATGTAGAATTGTTCAACATTTTATTAAAAAACTTTTAATAAGATCATGTTGGTTTCGTGTATACTCATGTTTATATTTTTATTATTACAAAACAAGATATTATCTAATAATATGTCATTTGAAAGGTTAGCATGAGTGGTAGTCAAGATTCATATAAGAAAACATTTGGTTAGGTGTTATTTCCAGTGTGTATATAAACTAATTTTGTAGTGTCTCAAGACTTATAAAAAATCCTGTATAGAAATGATGCTCTTAGGAAGTGTCCACAGCATCCGATTGAGATTATCATAATCACTGAAGATCTTTTCAAAGTTCCTGTAAAACTCATCTTTTCTTTTACATATAACTTTAGTAAAATCATAAATTCTGTACAAATTAGTAAAGAGTTTGTTTCTGATCCATCTTTATTACCATCGTCAATTAAAAAAAATCATTTTTAATATTATGTTGCTTTTTTCTTTACATGACACTGAAACACGGAAGAAAAGATTGACATTTTATAAGTTTAATAATATATCTCTAGAGAATTATTCTATATATGTCAAAAAATAGAATTTAAAATGACAAGACGCTATTGCATAATACATTAATAAAAGATTCAATTTGTCTATATTTATTTTTAACGTCATTTTGGCTTTATTAAAAAAGAAAAAAACGTAATAATGAAATATTACTTTTTTTGTTTTATTTCTTTAGGATTTATTTTGAAAAATTATTAACAAAATCAATTCTTGCTCTTAATGATCATAAATCTATTGAACCACTTAAAATGATGGTTGAACAAGAACAAGAATCAAAAAGTCAATTTATCCGTGTCGTTCGAAGGTATGTGTATTTATTACATAAGATACTAATAATACCTTAGCAAACATGAAAAAATAATAATAACTTTCCTAAATTCATATGAGCAATATTTAATTTCAATCTTACGTTCATGAAAATGATAATTCTTTTCTTCTGTATTATAAAATATAAGTTGCGATACGTCATCAGCTCACAATTAAATATAATCTAAAAAAGTCTACAAGTGATATTTAAGATAATTAAGCATGTTTTTGTTGTTATGAATATATAATTTAGTCAAAACAGTTTGGAGAGTTTCGTTCTAAGTATAAATATCAAGAGCTTTCTTAATCTAGGCAAAAGGTCAAATAATTGAGGATGATTATTTATAATTATAAGTAATAGCAATTACTATCGACCTGCAGAACTACTCAATGAAAAATTTATCGAAAAAATATAAAAATACGACTTGACTATTTATTAAAACGATATACCTTCGTGTCTTTAGTATACTGTTTTAACTCTAAATAATTACTATCCATTAAAGGAGTGAGAAGAACTTAGTTTAATTGAACGATTTTGGTCAAAAAGTTTAATGATATGAGAAAACATTAGAATAATAGGTTTCAATATTGAGTTTTTAATAAATTGAGAGAAGCACTTAGGTCAAAACATTCTTTATAAACTTTTCCATTAATTTTCCAAATTATTTTTAGAAACATTAGAAAATTTTAATAAGGTATTCATATAAAAATATGCTATTCTTTTGCTATTTTATTGTTATTTTTTTGATTGTTCATTACGAAAAATAAATAAATTTAATTATATCTAGTGAAGAAGAAAGTCGTCAACGAATAAAAGAATTAACACAAAGTATTCAAAATGTTCGTCAAGAAAAACTTACTGAATTAGCACGTCGTGCTGAAGTAATAGCTTATCAAAAAGATCAATTACAAGAAGCAAAAGCTAAAGCACAACTGGAAGTCACATATGAAAAGAAAAAATGTGAAAATCATCTTGAACAAATACGTGAACGTTGTTTTATTGCTGAACAAGAAATGCGTCGAGATAACGATGTAATCAACAATAAAATATATTTTTTTTGTTTTTTCAAATTAAATTATTTCTCTTTTTGTTTTGCTTTCTTTATTATAGGCATTAGAAAATCGTTCTGAAGATGAAATGAAATGTAATTCCGAAACAGAAAATTTCTTACGTGTTTTTATCAAAGTATTTAAAAAATGCTTCTTTTTCAAAGATTAACTTTTAGTTCTAATTAGGATTCAGGTCAAAAAACTGACGAATGGCTTGAAAAATATAATCAAGAAACAGCTCTCTTACAAACTCAATTAGATAAGTTAAAATCTGCACGGGCAACTGATTTAGCAACTTATCAAAAAATTGCTGCTGACGTAAGAAAGAATTGAAAAAATAAATACAGTATTTATTATGAAAATATTTGCTTCGTTTTGTTTACGTAGTTTACTCAATATGAAAAAGTTGTACGTGATGATCGAGCAGAAAAGGAACGTAAACGACGACAGTTAGAGCGTGAAGAACAACAAATGAATGCTGCAGTTAAAATACAATCATGGTGGAGAGGAATGCTTCTTAGACATGCAATTGGGCCACATAAGAAGAAAAAAGGAAAAAAAGGAAAAAAGAAGAAAAAATAAAAAAATACAACTATCCAGGGCTTTGCTTTTTTATTAAAATTTTCTTTTTTCTATTTTGAATAATAAATAACGTTTGATTCATACGACATATGTTCATTAAAATGAACTATTTAATCGTCATTAGTTTTAACGTTTCCGGGTAAAGGAAAATTAAGTCATCTGTTGACAATACTTTTAATGGTACTCAAATATAAATAGAAGAAAGAAAAAAACAGAAGACAAATGGTAATGAGTATTTTGAAGAAGAAACAAAAAGAAATTTTTCTATATTAACTATGAAATATAATAATATTGATAGAGCTTTATTTTTGCTAATAGATCACTGGTATCGTTGTATGTGATGTTTGACAATAAGAATTTATGTTTATAGTATTTTTCTTCAATAAGAAGACAAAAAAAGTTTCTTTATCAATGTTTATTGAAGAAAATTTTATGTATACAGAAATGAGTCTAATTAATTATGAAGATAGCGTCGAATTCGTGTGAACATTTTATGTGTACTTCTTTACATCATTTTCCTTGGTAGTTAAATGTCATAAAAATGTCACTAATATTCATCAAAAAGAGTATAGAAAAAAAATTGATGAAGAAATGAAGAAGAAGAAGAGAAAATAGAATAACTTCTTGAATACTTATTCTAAGAACAATAACTGAGAAAATAGACAAAACAAGTTTTTATATTTTATGGCACATTCTTTCTCATTCTACTGTTCCTTACATTTTTTTATGCTTTTACTCGTATAAAAAATTTTATCATTGAAGTCAAAAATAATATTTGCATATAACGGAAATGTTTTTCATGGCAGATGGCTTGGGCATGTCGATTATAAAACACGGTTCAAAGTACATTCTCATAGCTATATATTAAACATCTGCTTCCTAATTTTTGTTTCAATTCTTGGATATATTAACGAACAGGTGAATATGTAAGAATATCAAATGCATGATTTAAATATTAAAGAGTCTAGTATACCCTTCTTCTTTTAAAGTCCGATTTCAGATTACAGAAAAATGAGCCAACAACGATCAAATGTCAAACATATAGGATATAAATAATGTTGACGAAGCAGAGAAAACTCTCTTTGTAGATCAAAATGTTTTCTCTGTTTTTTTCTCTAGCTTTTTGCTAATTCAGTTGCCACACAACAAACGGTATCGTTTAGCTTCAATCTGTTCTTATTCCTTTCGTTTTCTCTTTTTTTTTGTACTTTTTATAATTAAACGTTTTATGTCTGCAGTTAATTTACGTTCGAAGAAACACTTTTAATTGAAAGCATATTTTCTGTTATATTGTCTGCCTTTTGGACAACTTTTTTCTTAATCTTCTTTTCATTTTATGCTGTTGAAAACAAAGAATTTTATTCATCATTGAATTAGAATTACTTTTTCTTTTCAATTAATATTTTCGCAATCTATGACAAGCACATCGTTTTCTTTAGTTATTATTTAGATCTTCTTTTAAGAAAAACTAATGAATAAGTACATTAAAATTACTTCAAATTTGTTGTCTTTTTATATCATTTTTCTTCACAAGTAGTCTCCCTGAGGAAATAACTTTTAATAGTCAGACTTCATTAAAATTATAGTATTCCTATCGATGTAAAGAATCTATTATAATTGACGCGCAATATGACAGTCATGTGAGAAAGAACAAAGAATGTCAAAGAGTAGTACCTCTACTACGAGGCATCTTTAAATAGACTTATAGATTATTCAATAATAGTAGAAGCAACCATGTTGATTAAAGAAAGCAGTATTGATTATAAATGCAAATTATACTTCAATAAAGAAATACGTGATTTAATAGGATTATCTCATCACGAAACATTACATATAAATCCTAGGAAAATATTTATATTTCTCAGAATTTTTTCTATAATACAATAAATAAATTGCTAGTTAATCTGTAATATTTTAAGAGAAAATTATCTTGTCATCTTTTAGTTCGACTGAAATCTAGTGTTCTCTAAATAAAAGTAAAAAATCCTTGTTTTGAAGAATGCATTAGTCTCATTCATTTGTTTCTTTTATTCAGATATTCTTCATTAAGCATTTTACAATGGGTGATGCTGATGTATCAAGCTCATGTTCACACTTTGATCCATCATTTTATTTTACTACAATGTGTCGATATGGTTCGATGAATAATACAGATGCTTGTAAAGAAATGAGAACGTGGATGTATGTTTTAAAGGTTGATTGTTATATAAGTCGGGTATTTTATCCATTAACTGCAGGGTTAATTGTGATTGGTACAATACTAAATTTATTTTCTTTATATTGTTTTCTTAAAATGAATAAGCGTAATTCTCAAAATGTTTATTTATCTGTATTATCATTAGGTGATACAATTAATCTACAGCTTAATTTTGCTTTACCAATATTAAGACAAAATGAAACATTCGATGATTATTTTCGTAATTCAAATATTTTATGTCGTTTAACAGGGGTATTAACAGAGTTTTTTTTAATATTTCCAACGTGGATTGTTGTTTTATTAACAATGGAACGTTTAATATGTATATCATGGCCATTGAAACGCCGTTCATCATATACACAAGCACGAGCAAAAATATCTATAATTATTTTAGTAATAATCGTAACCTTATTAAGTTTATATCGTTTATTTGATGTAAAAGGTATTGATCAAGTTAGTGTTTTTTCTGTTGCTGCATGTAATGGTACACATACGCCATTTGATTTGATGAGAAATCTTAATTTGATGATATGGACTATGATACCTGAAGGTTTTACATTAATAATGAGTTTAATTATAATATATCAAATAAAATTAGCTACACAAAAATTTCAACCAAATTATTCTAAAGCTCGTCAATTACAATATAATCAAGCAACAAAAACAGTTTTACTTATATCAATTTTATTCCTTATTTTCCATACACCAACCGGTATAATATCTGATATTTATATGAGATATATTTTATTTTACTTTATTTTTATTTCTAGGTATTATGATTGCTCTAGATTTATTTTATGGGCAAAATGAAAGAACATTGGGTATGATGATAATTCTTGTTTCAAGAAAATTGACTATTATTTTTTATGAAATAAGTTTATGTTGTAAATTTTTTATTTATAACCAAACATTTCGAAATTTTAAGTAAGTATTTCATTGAATTTTTTATTTTAATTATATATAAAATAGATTTATTTACTTTTACTTAATTATTTGTTTAAAAACAACACGATTATTATCGTTATCTATAAATTGCTTTTACGTTGTTTATATTAAATATCTATTGAATTGAATTGTTGCTTTATTTTTGTTTTCATAGAGGAATTTTACATACATCAATTTTTCGCTTTACTCGTCGAACAAATTCAGCTAAATTGGGTCGACCTGCTCTTGAAAACTCACATGATTGTCCACAACATCGAACAATTCATTTTCGTCCAAAAAAACAATCAATTACTTCTCCAGGAAGTCAAACTGATTCATTGATAAAAAGTGTTGAAGAACATCATAGTATCGTCAAAAATCATGCTCAACGAACACGCTCAACAAGTCTATCAAGAACAAATCGAGAACAACATCAACCAATGACTGCTATTATGACTAAAACAAATGAATCTATACAAGTATCATTATCACGAACACCTGATTTGTTAATCAGATATTCAAAAGAAAAACGACGACCATTATATCTTACAGGACATCAAATAACATTATAAAAAATAACAATAACTTAAATCTTTAAAGAAACTGATTTGTTATTTCTGCTTTTTTTTATTGTTGTTATAGTTTCAGTATTTTTTTCGATAAGTATTTACTAATTTATTTAGTTTTTTTATATTGTTTATCAATATTTTAAAACAATGAATTATTAAATGTTATTCTGCCCTTGTTGTTTTTTTTTTGTTTTAAGTTTATAATTAATGTTATGAATTTGAATTTGTTTATTTGGTTGAGTATGTTCATGCATATTTATAGGATAGTTCATGATTTTGATTAATGATATTGACATAATGCTTCAATTTCCTCTTTCCTGCTCAAAATGCCTCAAATATAAATATAAATAAACTTTTTTTTAGTTCAGCTTTTAAACTATACATAACTTGAGGCTAACTAAATCGAATTGATTGTCTGAACAATATAAGAATAAAACCTCATATGTATATAGTTGCCAGAATAAATAACCTTCAACAAGCATGCACGGATTTCAATTGAATCTGTCCTTCTACTTGAACAGGCTTCTTTACTTTCTTACTCACGCTCTCTCTCGCTTTCATTCTTAATATTATTTACGAATTGGCAACAGTAGCAGTCACCATCATTATAGATTGTTGTTTATCAGGTGAGTCACTTTGATTTTGCGATAAATTTGTTCGTTGTCGACTATATTTATAATCTGTTTGAGGTTGTTGTTGATACGGTTGATTTGGTGTTGTTGTATGTAATACACGAACTTGTTCACGAGAATGATTAACATAATTAAGAAAATTTTGTGGGCTTCGTATATCATTTTTAAATGCTGATGATATTTTTGATGTTGCTGAATTTTTTTTCTCACCTAATGCACGTCGTAAAATAATATCATCATTTTGTGGACGTTTTATACGTGCTGAGAAATTTTGTTGTTTTAAATTGCGTTGACGTTCAATTTGTTTTATTGATTGACGAATATAATCATATACTGTACGATATTCATGATATCTTCGTTGTGATGAATCAGATGTATTATATGATGATGAACTAGCAGTTTTTAAACGAGGCAATTGTTGTTGATGTTGCTGTTGTTGTGAATGTTGACTACGTGGTGATGGTGACCGTGAACTTGATATATGAGAACGATAATCACTATTAATTGTAGCGGATTTTTCGCGTTTTGTTTCTTCCATATAAGTATTACGATATGCAACATCGGGTGCTGGTGCTACGTGTCCTATTTTATCAGAGTGTCGTTGCCAACCAGGAGGTGATACTGATGAATCACGACTATCAGAATTATGAAAATGTACACCAACAGTGTGTGCTGTTGCTAGACGTTTTTTTTGTTGACGTGAACGAAGTTCAATAGAAGGATTCGAACGTGGTTGTTGATCTTTAGTTGGGCTGTTGTTACTTGGTAATTTTAATAAAAGTGCACTAGGAGGTGGTGTGTATTTCTTACGAAAGTATAATGTTAAATCGATATCGGCAGCAGCCATTGCTTGTATTTCTTTTATTCACTGCTTTGTACGGTAGAGAATAATGAACTAATGTATGCTCACATTTCTTTTTCTGTAACTAGACACTTCAATGACAAGTGTTCTATATAATAGTTACAATTACAGAACCATCTTAATTCCATTTAAAAAAATTTTTCATGTTCGATCGTGTTATTATTTCACTCTATTCTATTGCATACATACATTTTCTTTGTCTGCTTCGAATGACCCGAGGTGCCCCCTTCAGATTCTTCTTTCTTGTTCTTCAATTTTCTTCTTTTATAATAACGATCGTCGTCATACTTTTTGTAATTGTGTATCCAAAATTGTAGTAATAACTTTTTTAAATATAAATTTTCTATGAATCAATAAATTGTTGCAACAAAAAAAATGTTTACTATAGATGAATTTTTTTTTTGTTCTTGGTTCAAATTTTTTTAATTATGTTCAATAAATGGACGAATATAGATTTAGATATTTCTGCAGACTGATAATACTCCCCCCCCCTCCACTACACTAATTTGTTTAATTGACAGAACATATTAAAGAGTGAGTGCCGTACTATTGCTGATCTGCAGATACACTCAAACTTAACTTCATTATGATTTGATAAAGATTTATGATTTATAAGAATTATATGTCATCGTATTAAAAGATAAGAATTGAGATTTGAAACACTTCATTTTCGTCTTATTGAATTTCAATCAACTTGAAGTAACTAACAATTTTCTTTTTTTTTTTTTCTTTTTTTGCTTTCACTCTTGACATCAGATTCAAGAACAAAGATTACTTTTCATGGTCGCCGATCGTCAAGAGTAAATAAATATCCTTTTGTTCGATTGACCAAGGATTTAAACTTGTTCTTAGGGTAAAAAAGAAAAAAATTTCCAACATGTTTCCTTTTCGAAAAAGAAAGAAAAACAATGAATGAAAAGAAAGAGTTGTCATTTCCTGTTTCTATTGATATTTTGCAACTATCATCATTGATACGGTACCTAGTCATCATTTTTTATTTTCTTCTTCTTGCCTTATGTCAACAATAATATACACTGACACAATAGCAACGTGAGAAGAGACAAGAGCAAGAAAAAGAAAAGGAAAAAAGAATAAACGAGATTCGAGTGTTGTTGCTAAAGTTCTGATCTCAATACAATCCCTAACTCATTCATTTACGTCTGTTTTGCTTATAGAACAAGAAAAAAACAACTTTGAAAAGTAATCATCATTGCTCGTGATCGTTAAAGCTGCAAAAAAAAAAGCATAAAAACATTTGCCTATCCATTTTCATCTACTGCATTATGACATTTTAAACGTCGATTTAAATAATCGTGCGTTTGTTTTTTCTTCTCTTATTCTTAAATTTTTGTCACCAAGTAAGTTTATATATACTTTGTTTTTTTGTTTCTTATCATCAGTCGTTTTTTTTTTCGAGTAAACAGTTCATACATGCCAACATCAAGTCAATCTAAAATTCTCTCTGTTATTGATTATCAGTTGGGTCAACAACAGGCTACTGGTCAAGATGAAGTAACAAAACCAACTGTTCATAGTTCTGGTAGTAAAATTCCAGGAAATGAATCAAAACGACGTTCTCACAAAGATGATCGTCGTGCATCAATAGAAAATAAAAATGATGAAGATAATCATTCTCCATCACCTCCTAATATAACTGATCGACGATTAAGTTTCAGCAAAAATACTGATGGTAAGATTTATATATAATTAAAATTTTTTTGAATCATTACTTTCACAAAAGCAAACAAACAACAAATTCTAATTTTTTCCAGCAAGATTAAAAAATGTTCGAAAATGTCAGAGACACATAAGGTATATGGGTCATGATCGTAATTATCATCCTATTCGTAAGGGTATGGTTATCATATTTGCTCGCTATGCTTAAACTTTTCTTATCGTACATCATAGTCGCTAGAAAAAAAGATAGATTTGAACGCAATCTAATTATATAATTTCTTATATGATAGGCTTACAATCAGGACGAACAACTCAACGCAATGATCTACTATATGTACCTGTAATAAATCTTAATAATATGGCACAAAATCAACCACGAATCACATCAGGTTTCACTTATGTAAATGATAATCGACAAAGTCGAACAGTCAACACAAATGAACGAACAAAACCTATATTAGTTGATTCGACGATACAATCATATCAATATCGTCGAAATTCATTTAATTCTGACAATGATGATCAAATTGAAAATGAACATAGATCAAAACAAATTAAAAAATATCCAACACCAATAAGTGCTGAAGAAAATATATCATCTTCATCAGATGTTGATCAAGATAATGATAATGGTGATGATGATAATTTAAAACGTGAACGTCGACCAAGTTTACTAAATGAAAATGCTCGTCGTTTACTTATTTTGGGTACAATACGTCCATCAAAAACTTTTTATAAAAATTTATCTGACGCTGATGCTGATCATCTTATGGAATATTTTCGTCGAATGAAAAATACACATCAAAAAATGACATCAGACGAAATACATCAAGAATTAACAACTAAATTTGTTGAATATAAACCAAAAATTTGTAAGTTTTTTTTCAAAACGTTAAATTTTTTAAATAATAACAAATTTCAATGAAATTTTGTAAAAACAAAACTGTGTAATTTCTATCGCATCAAAAGCAGTATTTTGCTTTTATTGAGTGAAGTCTTAACCTATTCATGAAAGTATAAAATACAAAACTAGAATTCCTATATATATATATATATATTTAGTTTTTGATTCGGCTTCTGTAACAAAAAGTCAAGTAGTAAGTATTGAAAAAATCATTGAAGAATATGCTGATAAAATTCGAACAAATAAAGCTGAATTTGTTAAAGTTGAAAATCCAATGCGCTTTGTTATAAAACAAATTGATAATGATAAACCATTAACAATAATACCACGTGAATATAATGATTGTTTTATAACACTTGTTACTCGATCAGATCCATTACGTAAATCAGATTTAATTACTGAACTTGTTCAAGATAAACTTTTAGCAGATGTCAAAGCTAATTCATTAGACATCAGGTAATGTAATAGAATAGGCGCTCAAAAGAAAAAGAAAAACAATCATTTTATTTTCATTTTAGTTATTTTCCCGGTGGTATTAATTATGATGTACCACGTGATGAAATTGATGAAAATGGTCAAATGAATACAGAAATATATCAAAAATTAAAAAGCCGTCTAAATAGTCGTAAAGTTTGGTATTTTAATGGACCACCAGAAAAAAAACCAAATGCTTTATTAGCTATTCTTCCACCAGATGTAACAATTAATATTGATCATCAACGTTTATTTGATGCTCTTATTGAACGTTTAAAAACTTCAGCAACAAAAGAAAACTATAATATTGAACAACAGATATTATCAATTGAATTTGTTCCATTAAATTGTATATTAAATTCAAATGATATATCAAGTCAATTTGTTATTGATTGCGATACAATTGAAACAAAACAACAATTAATGGAAAAACCATTAAAAATTGTTTTAAACAAGCAATCAATTATTATTGAATTATGTTCTTATGATGAAAATATGCATAGAGAATATGAAAAATTTGTTAAATCAGAAAAATATCGTGAATTAATTAAAAATCATGATACCGCTGTTAAACGAACATCAAAAACAAAGTAGTGAACTTTACATAATTTCTTTTGTGTTTTTTCTTTTTGAAATAATAATAAATATATACATGATCCAGAAAATAATCAATTTATTACATTTCTATTTTTATTGTTTCTCAGTAGCTTTCGGGATTTATTTTTCTTTTTTTGAATATTATTAAGGTTTCTTTCTAAATCACGTTATATATGTAATCATCAAACAAAAGAAGCTAGGCTGAAAGCTGATACCTAGCTGAAATTGAAGATTGATTCTTTACAATTGACTCTCTCTGGATACAATTAAAATGTGTTCTTTGCTATCAATAGATAAGTCTGTATAAATCTGGTGATTTTATTAAATCCCTAAAAAAATAAATCTCGGTAGTCTCTCCTAAGGTATTTTGTTTTTGTTATCCTAGACCAAAAAATACGGGTCGTTTCTGATCGGAAAACTCGGGACAGTGGTAAAGATTTGTAAGCAAAAAGCCAATGATCAAATCCGATAGCTGACTCTGGTCGAATACGATCGGAAACAGCGTCTTTCCGACGAAAACCTGCCGAAAATTCATGTATTTAGACGTCGGAATCATTGATCTGAATTATGAAAGGTGGAGAAATACACGAGTGATCTTTGAACTATCTTTATTTTTTTCAGTGCGTACCTTACTATATTTCAATTCTGATAAAAAAATAGTTTAATAAGTAAAAAAATGCTTCTACCATTCCATTTATACAAAATCATATTACTGAATGATTAATTATTCTGAAACATGCTGTTTTCTACAACTACAGAAAAATGATCTCATTTGAAGGTATGAGTGTCGTTGACATGTCATTAAAATATTTTATTGCAAAAGGTCGACTAGTAAATAATGATTTATTTTTTCGGATTCGATACAAATAGATGCATAAAAACAGAGTAAACGATACACAGGAGGGTGTCAATTGTACAGTATGAAATCAATGAACATTTCAATGGGATAATATAATTGATGTTCGTATCCAATGTAAAGATGTAAAACTTGAAAATGGAACAAAATATAACACTCAGATTTCATTAAAACAAAGAGAACTCACGAACGACATTGATATCGCTTAAAAATTATGTTAGAATGAACATACTATATTCGAAGGTTTTTCCAGCTAAAAGATTGCGACATTTCTTGTTTTTCATATAATTCTATGATAGAACGTTCACTTTTTTTTTAAAAGATGTGTCATTGCATGCCCTATTCCGATCATAAGATCAAATTTTTATAACTATTTTCTAAATTTTAATAGACTAAATATTGCTATTCATAAATATCATTCAACTGATCACCATATTAAATACAAGCAAAATAAAACGTCTATAATAATTGATCGAGATGCTTCACCATAAATAAAACTTTTTTGTTGTGTTACTCTCAAATATATCGTCTAACAACAGTGAATTCGATGCATATATCAATAGATTCTATGTTTCTAGATTAAATTTCCTCGATTATTAAAGGGAACAGCAAAAAGATATTAAACTTAACAAAGAAGAAAAATAATAGAATTGAAACTTGAATTGAACTAACCACCTTTTTTGTTTTTTTTTTGCTATACCTAGAACAGTATATTTTTTATCTAACACTGATTTGATTAACATTGATTTTAGTTAACAGTCACAAAAAATAGGAATTGCCGATTTTTCCTTCTGGGAAATAACATCAATGGTACATCCCATGTAAAAGAAAAGTGAACCAAAATCACTTTTAAGCATTTATAACATTAATAAAGTAAAACAGAGTAACTTTTCTCTGTCTATTTTTCACTTTTTATTGTACTTTCTCATACTTTTCCACTTTGAAAAGTACTTAATCGTACCTTTTAGTCGAAAGGTATGAAAAGTACTTCAAAAGATTCACTTATAAGTACTTTTCCTATTTAAAAAGAAACTTTTGAAAATACTTAAAAGTTACTTTTTGGCTACTTTTTTTTTGCCTGTGATGTGTTCATTGTTAGTAGTCTATAAAAATTTAGGGAAAAAACTCTAAAGGCTTCGTTTTGCCATTTGAGTCGAGCATTCAATGACGCATCTTTTAAGAAAACAAGGTCAACATTTTATCATAGAATTACATGCAAAACAAGAAATGTTGAAAAACTTAGGTTACATTCGGTATTATTATTATTATTTTTCATCAACAAACAATTTTTTTGTTAGCATATTAAATTTGCTTTTTTGGTATTGCTATTTTCAAAACTTATGATATTTTTATATAGAACAAAAAAAAAATTATAAATTTCTTTATCGTCTTTGTCAATAGTCAATAAACTTGAATTTTAATTATCACGCCAGTATTCATATGCACCAAGTTGTTTAATAATTATTTGAATAATATATTCATGTGATCCGTGTAAATTATGATGGCGATCAAGTCGAACCCATTTTACGTTTGTTGCATCATCTCCTATAAAAGAAAAAGACAAATTTAAAAAGAAAAACGCGCATCTTTTTCTCTAAATCAATTTTGTTTTTATGATTACATGAATAAAATGATTTCTTTAAACCATTTTCATTATGATTGATTTTGATATAGACATCATCAACTATCATTAATAGATTTTATTTTCATATTTTTCTAAAACGTCTAAATATGATGATACGATTAAAAAGGAAGCAAACAAAAAGTTGGTAGAAAATACATTAAAATTTAATCCATCACAAAATTTATCTCGAATGAAATCACTTATTAAACCACCACCACCACGTACATCATGGGAACTTTTACTCGATGATTACTTAAAAGATCCTAATTTTAAATCCAGTTTAACACCTAAATTATCACCAACTAATTCTCCATCATATCAACAATCAACACTTCCTTTACCTCATTCAATTTCACCTATTCCTTTTCAGCAAACATTTATTCCATCATCTTATTATCAATATCCACTAAATTCATCTAATATTCCATATCAAACAAAATCGTATCTTCCTCCACGCCGTTATAAAATGACTCTTGATGAACTTGTCTATTTAATTAGTCAAGTTGGTCGATCGGATTTATATCGTGAAATGGTACAATATATCAAAGCACAACAATTATCAACATCATCAAATATATCGTCTTCTCATCTTAATAATAAATCATCAAATATAAATGCTAATTCGAAAAAAACAACAACAGACTTGCTTCTACTCAATAATATCAAGAAGAAACAGTGTAATATTTCTCCTCAAGTTCAAGATGAATTAATTAAAAAATTGAATCGATTAAAAATCAATAAAAAAATTAAATAATTACCTGCTTCTAATTTTAAATCTTTTGTTAATTCACCCATTTCATCATGGATATTTAGTGCTTCAGTTTCTATCCAAGCATTATCTATAATAAACAAAGAAAATAAACTTTTCTCTTATTTTTATTCAATTTTATGAAACATGATATAAAAGAAGTGTTAAAACATAGGGCTAAAATTTTTGACATGTCTACTTCCCCACAAATCGTGACAGACATCGATATACGATCAAAAACCATATATTAATAAATTCTCTTTATAATATATGAACTATTTTCTGATTGCATTTTTGCAGGATTAAGCAAAAGAATGATGAAGAACTGAGTTCCATAATAAATAGAACAAAAACAATCTCTTGGTAATTGACAAGAGTATTTACACTGTGTTTCACATTTTTATTTTGGAAGGATTGCAATAACAGCTTTTTACCTGTATTTCTTGGATCATCAATATAACCTTTGTATATCTATTTAAAAGTAATAAATTCACATGGTTTATTTTAAACAATAAAATCTTTTTTTTACCAATTTAGCTATCTTAAATAACTCATCGATCTGTTTGACAGCATCAAAATTCGAATTCATAGCTTCTTCAATAAATTCTCGTTTGACTGCTGCTAATATGTGTTCGCTAAACAAAGAATTATCACTTAAAAATATGAAGTAGATAATGCATGCGATACTACAGAAGTTTTTTCACTCAATTTTTCTATTAGTTCTAATTTGATGAGAAGTATTTTATTATAAAACTCAGACATATTTAGAATTATCTGAAAATTCTCAGACTTCCACGCTTTACGCATCGTTGTAGTTTTTCATTTCTTTCAGATCACGTTCACGTCATTTTTCATAGGAATTTTCAACTCTTACGCGAACAGTTTCACACTCTACTGTTATATGATTAGAAAAGGAATTTAAAATATAAGAACAACCCATGCTCATTTAATGCAAACATAAAAGAACTAACCACTTTCGAACCACACAATTCTCTATTGGTTTTATGAACTTTAGGGAATAAATTTTAGTGTTAAAGCTGCTGCTCGTTCAAATCATTCTCGAACAACTGTCAATGAACAAACGATTGGTGCTGTACGAACAATAATTGAAAATGATCCTCATTCAACATACTAACAAATAGAAGATACCTTCTGTATTGTCTTTCAATATGTTAATCCTGTAAATGAGGAACAATAAACTTAGTGAAAAAAAACAAAAGAGAAATCAAAAGTCTGAATGTCAAAAACTAAACGACGTCTAGCCAAAGTTCATTGAAACAAAAGCTCAGACAAAGGAATAGTGGCTATTATTTTTTTATGAAATCTGGTTGTAACCAAGTGAATACCAAAAAACAGCTGGTTTTATGCTAAACGCAAGTTGATATGTCCACAGCTGTCTATCATAAGTCTTCAAAATTGTATCAGAATGGAGTCAACAGAGCAGTTTTCGAATTCTTATTCTTCAAAATGATAAAACAAAATCACATCAAACTTTCATTGTTAATAAAGTTTAGTCCAAAAATCATGCAGAAAATGATGTCGAAATCCTTCATATTCTCCAGAACTAAGTTTCTGTGATTGCTTCATATTCTCAAAAGTCAAAAATCAATTACGTGGAATTCAGTTGGATAACGACAATGCAGTCTTAATCGTTGTACAACAAGCCATTGACAGCCTCACAAAAGAAGACTTCAGAAACTGCTTCGAATGCGCAAACGCGTTGATACTGAAAGACAGTACTTTAAAAAATACATTAAAATCAGTCTTTTAATATTTCTTCTAAGGGCTAGCGAAAAACCTTTTTTTTACCACTACATATAAATATTTACCCTGGGTCAACCATACCACCAGGGAAAGCTGAATTCCCATTATCTTTTCGACTGATGAGTAGAATTTCTAAAACTTTTTGTTTATTATCATATTGATCTTTTGACCACCGTGTTAAAAGCGAGTCACCAGCATGATTCGGTCCCCATCGACCAAGTAAACCACGACCTGATACTAAAAATAATATTTGCTATATGATTCAGATTCAAAGTATGTAAATTTCAATGCATACATCCAGTACGACCTTGAGGATTTTTCGGTCGATTTGTTTCTTTATCAATTTCATACACACCCATAAAACTTTTTCGATCAATTTTTCCATCAAGCTCATTATAATGTTTGATCTTTTTTCTACAAAAATAAATTTGTAGAGAACATATAATAGTTTTTTGACATTCTTACGGATCAGCATCATCTGCCCACGGTGGATTCTTTAAAACTTTTTGAGCCGTATGTTCAGTTGGCTTATAATCAGGCCAACTAACATTCCAAGGAACTTTTTCATCGGATACAACTGTTCTCTGATTAATAATAAACAAAATAATATTTCATGTTTAAGTTTAATAAAATCTTACATAAACATCTTTAGTACCAGGGTAGGGTGACTTACGACTTGCGATATGTAGATTAGCCATTGCTATTGGTTGAATCAGATTTGAAGTTAAATATCGAAAAATAACATTAGAATATTGTTGTCGACACGTCCACAAAATACTCATCAAAATTGGTATAATAAATATATACCTGGATGGCAGTTTGAAATGTTTATTGTTCTAGAAAATAAACGTTCATATCAATAATTAGCATTGTTTTTTTTTACTAATATTCAATATTAATTCAACGATAAAAAAAAATTGTTAATAAAAAGAAAGAAATTACAAGTTAATCTTTAGGCAAAAATTAAGCCACAAACGACAATAGTTATTATTATTTTGTTTTATTTTTACATGTGCAAATAATCTTAGAGATAAATTCAACTTATGTAGTTACCTTTTTCTCCCTCGAACTTCTACATATTGAAGTCTGATGAAGGACTGAACATTAAAAAAACAATGGATATTATTCAACAAGAATGTTTATATTAGAACTATTTTCACAAGCTACAAGGAAACCTTCTCAGATGTCTCATTTCGATATCAACAATTTTTTACCTTTAGATACTACATAATATTCTAATAGAAATCCTAAAACGATTTAGATTCCGGTTGAGATTTGACTGAGTTAGTGAATTTTCAATATGTCTGTTTTCTAGAATCTCCTGTATAATGTCAGATTTTTGAACTTTGATCTGAAGCTTTGCACATAGAGAGTATTCAATTAGACTAGCTTACATTAAAAAAATTCAGAAGTTTTGAACAAACTCTCTTCAAAATATGAAGCATTAAAAAAATGCATGCTGCATACACTGTCCATAGAAAAAAATCTATATCGTGAAAGTTTCATACTTCCAAGTGATTTTGTTCAAAACTTCTGAACTTTTTATAAAAATTAGTCTAGTCGAGATCTCTATATGCGCAAAGCTTCAGATTAAAATTCGAAAATAAGATTCTTCCAAAAACTTGGAACCGTATTGAAGCCTCTAGAAAATTGACATTAAAAATTCGATAACTTAGTTACTTCTAAATAGGAATCCAAATCATTTTAGGATTCTTTTTAGAGCAGTACGTAGTATGTACAGAATGGTTCAGAAGACAATCGTGAAATAAAACTGCAATAACCTTTCAACAATTTAAACAATTCACAAGAATTTTTTATCATTTCATAGAATATATTGGGAAATTTTTATGTCATATGGTTTCACCCATAATTATTGTTTCAAAAGATTTGTAGAAAGCCGGTGCATAAAGCTTGTTCCGACATCACTGTAATAAATAAGAATCAATAATGAGATCACAGTCATCTCGAAGCTAGCTTTATGAATTGGTTTTCTACATGTTTCGAAACATTTGGTTTGATGTCTTAAAGTAGATGCCGATCATTTGAAATAATAATTATAGATAATATCATATGAAATAAAACTATCGAGAATATCTTATGAAATGATGAAAAGCTCATGTGAATTGTCTGAATTGTTGATGAGTCATTAAAGTTTTACTTCGTGCTTCAATTTTAGAACACTCTGTAAAGATAAAAAATCACTGAAATCAGCAGAAGGCATCTATGAAGACCACTCGTTAGTTCAGAGAAAAAAAATCATTCATGATCAATTGAGTTTTTCATTTGAGAGTTATCTAGTCATAAAATAATATGTTCTCAAGCAAAAATGTCGATCAATTATGCTAGCGTCAACAGATGACACTATGTCGACGCTAACTTAATTGAACTGTTGACGCTAACAAATTAGAATTACTATGCAAGTATTAGTTCCAAAGTTTTAATAGAACTTGAAAAATTTTTTCTTCAGAACTTTAATACTAGTATGTCTAAAAACTGGACAGACTAATAAAAACTTATACAAACATATGATGAATTTAAATAAACAAAACATGTGAAAACCAGTGAATTTTGTCCGCTTGCCACATCATTATGAAAAAACAATCAAAAAATAAACTAATATGGTTTTGTTTAATTATTTTAAATTATTTTTTTTTAAATACTATTATATTGTTAAAAAACTTCAGACATTTCTATGAACTAATCAAACAATAATAATTAAAATGAAATAAAGATGGCTAGAGTCTTTTTATTACCTATAAGTGCAAAAAGAAAAAGAAGAAACATCATATTCGTTCCAATATGAAAGCACAAAAAAGACCAACTATGGAAACATGAATGACAGAATGCAAAACAAACAAAAAAAACAATGAGAACAATATCTCAAACTATACTAATAACATCATCACTGAGTTGCCAATTAGCCTAGCAATAACAATCACGCACACACATGCACACTAGAGTTCTCTTTGTTATTTATTAGTTTTGTTAAATCATTTCGATGATGAAGATGCTGAAGCGGTTTTAGGTGTATAAAAATCTCGACAACGTTCATAAAATGTCTAAATTTAAAGAAAAAGAAACAACCAAATAGATACTGTAGAAAAGTTCTTGTTTGTTTAATTTACTTTCTCAGTATTTGTTCGAACAATTTCTTCAACATTACGTTCATTTTGTAATTGTCGTCGTTGAAATATTAATGTTTTACGACGAGCATCATTTGAATCATTTTGTGCTATTAAATCATTAGTACGTGATATACAAGAAGAAATTAATTCATTACGATATGTTGCACGTGAAGCAATCTAAATATTAAAATGAAATTTCAAGAAAAGATTATTAAAAAAACAAAGTACAAAATACTTCATCGCCAAGTTTTTGACATTGTTTAGCAGCATCAGAACCTTGAGAACGAAATGTAGCTGTGAGAACCGTCGTATTAAGTGTATTTATAATTAAATCATCTAATTTTCTTAAATCTTTTAAATGATTTTGAAATTGAAGATAATCGTCACAAATACGAAGATCTTTGCTCATTTCTGATATGTTCATTACTATCGACTGTTTTGTAGAAGATTCACAACAAAATGAAATCAAAGAGGTGTATTATGTACTAAAATTGTATGTTAGAATAGTATTCTAGCGCTACAATCAATTTCAAAACACTGCAATTTCTTAAATGGAGATATATTTTGAATGGTTTATTGATAGTTCCAATCACAAAATAGACTGAATCATATTAATAAATCTTGTTGATTTGGAAAACAACAACTATATTTTAGGGAAGAAAACAAAAAGATTTCAAGTGTTCTATTCTGTTCAAAAATCATAACGGAGTCTTGTTGGAATCAATGTACTTCAATTCTATATTGTCTGTATAGTAACAAAACAACAATTCTGTTCCAAATAGCGAAAACACAAAAAAAGATTTTCGTTGGATTAGAATCAATAGCTACAAAACAACTATGGCATTAGTCAATAGGTCATATAACACATGTCTATTTTTACTATTTTCAGGAATCAATCATTTGAACTATTTGAAAGGATATTTTAAGGTGATTAAGAGTAAAAATCTCAACAGGATGTTGATCTCGATGAATGAAGAGTTATGAAACAAAATATATTTCAGCATTACTTATAGTAAAAAACATAAATTATATTCAAACCATGCCAATTAACTAAATAATGACCAATGCTTCATTTTGTATGATATTAATAATGAAAATAGTCTTAGCAGTAAACTATTATAAACAAATGTTCTTGAATATAAGTATATTTTCGTCCATTATAATGTATAGACTAAAGTCTTTCAAGTCAAACGTAATTGTCTCAAAAATTATTCAGAATGAGACAATTCGCATTCGGAACAAAGTGAACAGAAACCAATATTCACAACTTTCTAGATCCACCTATCAGAACACCTTGTAAACTTTCAATTTCTTATATTAAACAAATAGTTTAATATTTAAATAAAATAATACAAAAGAAAAACACAGAAAAAAACATTGCGAAATGTCTTTAAAACTGTTGATAATCGATCTCCTTATCAATTGTTTTATTCCTATTGCAGTTTAGCTACATGATTTCGTTTAATTAACGTATCATGCACATCAATCAATGTGCATATGAACGTAAGAGTGTGCTCAAAATACGGTTATGTCTCATATCATTCTCTTTTCCTTAAGTTTCATCTGCAAGTAGAGAAATTTCTTTGAATGTTCGAACATTTCATTAATAATGCAAAATATTCCTTATATCTTGATTTAGACATATTCTTCGCTCAGTATTGCGTTGTGACAAATACACCAGAGAATAGTTAATGTGTCTAATAATTATCTATATGAATATCATTTTTCTAATGACTATATAGAAAAGACATATTCTTCTTTCAGACATTGATGTCTTCATATCCCTTTCGTTTAATGGAATTTCGAGACAAGAAAAAGTTTGTCCTGCAGGATTCTAGCATAGAAATTAGCTAGGTTAAAACAATCTATTATATCCATGTTTATATCAGGAATATAAATCATTATGAAACATACACAGGAATGTTCTTTCTAAAGTTTTAAAAATCAAAGTCATTTGGCTCGATGTCATCAAGATATTCTTAAGAAATCAAATGTAAAGTTAACAATCATCTGAAAATCATGCAACGATCTATGTTACGTTGAAACTATCGATTTGAATATATATATATAGGGTGTCCCAAAAGTTCTCACGGACAGTTAACTTAAATATCTCTGATACAATACAAGCGATTTAATTGTTTCTTTTATAATATGATAGTAGATTCTTTTAAGTTTTATTTCATATAATTTGGTTTACAACAACATAACACCAAATTTCTTTTGGGATCAATTTAATTTAGTTATTGATTCTCATTTGTAATTCAATCATGTGTTTGACAAAAGTTTTGTAGGCGTTGTGGAATATGGGTAGGTTTGAATATGACTAGAGAAAAGTTTAGAATCCACACCAACACCCACACTCACACTTTTATGCTTTTACAAACATTTCGAAACGGGTGAATTTATGTATTGCAGTGGATAATAATCATTTTGAGCATTTGTTGTAAACCAAATTATATGAAATAAAACTTAAAAGAACTTACTATCATATTATAAAATAAACAATAAAATCGCTTGAATCGTATCAGTGATATTTACGCTAACTTTTCGGGGCACTTGTGGACATCCTGTAC